TCTCTGAAATCAGCTGACTGAAGTTGTTGACGAACTCGATCCAAGCGACTTCCGGGGGTGGTAGCATAGACCAGCTGAGCTAATCGATGGTAGTTTGCGTTCGTTCGCACAGTCTCATCGTTCACATTCCGCCATTCCGCATAGCAGACGAAGCTGATACTGCGTGGTCCCTGCGACTCAATGGGCAGTTTACAGCCAACACATTAACCATATGCTCCTCCTTGGTATGCATAAGATGCAGCAAAAATGGTCTGTTACCAGTTCAGAATCGGGTGGACAAAGTGAGGTGATTGTAAAGAGGAACAGTACGAGATCTTGTAGATCGGCTTTGAATTGTTTTCCGATCATGGCAGGAGTTTCTACACAATGTACGTTGAAATCACCCATGGTAAGAATGTGAGTGTACTTGCGCTGTAAACTGCATCCTAAAGCAGCCTCTCGGTGGTAGTCTGTTTCGGGTGTAGATTTAGGGGCGGTACACCTAGACAATAAGGCAAGCGTCTCTGCCGTTTAGCTGCAAGCTGCACTAAGGAGAGTCGGGGAACTGCGAGTCTGAATCATCCAGGGCTTCGCAATGTAAGTCGCTTCGGTAACACAGAATTCCCCCTCTTGCATTTGTGAGCCTATCGTTCTGGACCAGCTGCATGAGCGGCAGCAAACTTTTAGCGTCCAGCATTCCCATGTGGAACTACGTCTCGGTGATACCAAAGCCATCCTGTGACCCGGAAGCTTGGTGATCTTGCAGTTTGGTCAGTTTATTAAAAAGACGCTGAGCATTCCTATGAAAACATGCCAGTTTCTCGGTCTCTATGAGCCCACAGGCGGCTAATGGGGTCAAGTGTGGGAGAATGTCGACCGATGCGAGATCAGCAGTTACTCGCTTTTTTAATTGGAGAATGTTATTTCGTCTGAAAGTTGATTCGGCCATTGTGCTTCCCAATCTTCGTTTATACCTACGTCAGAGTCAAGTAAAGCAGCAATCAAGTTAGGCTTTTGTATCATCTTCGGTACGTTTTCTGCCTCAGGTGCTTTCATATTCCAAATTTGCAAACCTTCTGCGATCTTTAACCGAAGGTCCGAAGAAAAACTGTTCCGATTTCTCCATCACCGGTTTGCTTATGCCACCGATCACAATCTACTGTCGTAGGACTTTGATAATCAAATGAAGGACACTTTCCTCTAAAACCACGCCTAAACAGTTTCGATGAATTTATGATCGATATACGACAAATTTCGGGTGTGCATGACCCAGCGTCGACGCACTTAGCAATTAGTTCCAAAACCAGCGTTGCCACTGAATTGGAGTCCATGGCTAGCGAGCGGCTCCCTGATCCTGAAGTTGCTCTATTATCCAGGTATTCCATCTAGACACACTACTCATTCGGCAGACATGGGGGGACAAATGCATCTTCTGCGACTCATCGCTAGTCAGGTCGCACGCAGTCGTGTCACATGAATGTCGCAAGACCGGTTTCGAAACACCACATGAGATATCTAACTAACTGCCTCTTGATTACGCCCGCTCTGACGATCTGGCATCAACTCTCCTAGTCGGCCGAGCGAATGTGGCTTGGAATTAATTCCCGCATGACAAATAATCGACAAACTTCGAAGTTGTGCGATCCGTTAGACTTAGACGCAACACGGTTACTACGCGCGAGTTGAACGCGATCCTAGACCGAACGCAATTTCACTCGCAAATACCTAACCCCAGAGAAGAAGACAAAAAGACAGACCTTTCGCGTAGGCACTTTTACCGGCCAGGGTCAAGGCGATTACATTGCAATGCAACGTTTCTTTTATACCTCATTGGCGGCAATGATTTGCGGAAGCAAACTCTGGAATTACTTACATTAGTATTGTGCAAAAATGCCAACGGAACATGTTGTAAAGTGAATGTTGGTAGATGCGGACGCTGGCTTCTTATAGACGGGCTTCATATAGAGATAAAATTGCAAAGACAGTTTCATCAGGTGCCTAGTTGCCCCACCTATTCCAGTCCAAGCTACGAAAAGCTCAGAAAGCTTAGTAGTGAATACGACTGCCTTGTCACATTTAGTCATTACTGATGGTGGGTCACACTTCGCTTTCAATTTCACTACCTTGCTTAATAATTGAAAATTTCGCTGCGTCCAAAAAACGTGTATATATTTGTCTGCTTACGGTCTGAAAATGCGATTGCACACACCGCCTCCATTACATGCCGACCTAGTATAATATGGAAACCGTCTTCTTTCCTCCTAGGGAGTGGTAGCAACTACAAGGTTTATTTCGGCGCTACAATAGCGCAGAGAGACTGCTTCTGTATACCTTGCCTGGAATAGACACTTGGCAGCTCCAGTGCCATCCACTTCCCCTTGCGATGCCGAAGTTTTACCAACCTGGTAGCTCACCGAGTATGTAGTATAAGTCTATCCCATCCCGGGTTAGGAAGAACATCAGTGCAGATGCAAGGGACCTGGAGCTGTACGCAAGTATGTTCACACAGTTGGCATTAAGTAGCTCCTGTAGTCACGGTGCATAAAGAATTTTCGACTGGTCACATGGACGCATAAAACGCCACAAGTGTCTGAGGTGGTCGACACGAAGATTGCACCGTTGACGGCGCAAAGGCAATGTAAATGGATAAGGCCGCAATGTTATCAACCTCAAGTAGTACCTAGAGCGGGGTTACAACTAACGGCTCTACCCGCTTATGTTTCTGCTGCCGAGCCGACAACGTTACCCAATACCAGAAGATTACCTTACAAGATTAACCGCTGTGTAATGCAGGTGCCAATGCCTGTTAAGCTTGGCAGACTCTGCATATACTTAATATACACAAATTTCTTATCGACAGTCGTCCTATTTTTGCTTAATTTTCTCTCTGAAAAGTGTTGGAATTATTGTTGATCTTTTGCTTATCCTCGGTTTCTTGCTGAAACTCTTGTTCTATCCGTCAGTGAACGCTGGTTTACTGATATCTACCGTCCAGCCAAATTAAAGCTGATGAGATGCGAATTTGAGTTCAGCGCATTTTAACCTGCAAACTGCAGGCAGACAGAATTAGTAGGAGTTTCCATTTGCGCCCTAATTTGCCCCTTAATGTAGTCAAATCCTTCAAATGGGTAGCGTTGTTGTCAATTATTATGGTAGCAAGTTGACGTTGCAGACATCCGCACTGACCTGGTCAACTGTCATGCTATGCGGTGAAAACGAAGTGTTATTCTGTTTCTCCCAACATTTATCAATATGCCTTCATGTTGTCTTTACAATTAGCTGTCAAATTTCCTCATTTGCCATCGAACAGACATAAAAATGAGAAACGTAATACCACTTATGCATTCCTCCAGGAGCAGCATTTAATATCACCTCATCTCGCAGAAGGCTGCTTAGTGACGGACGGTCTTCACTTAGGTAACAAAAGCCCCCCACCATCCGCGTCTAGCAGTGGGACTGCGCGGTAACTCAGATATTTGCCATTTTGCTTATGGATTACTGAGTAAATTATAGTGCTATTGTATACCGAGGAAAATAGGGCACCTGCTTGCTCAGCTTTTCGTTGCTTCTCTCCGGGCTGACGCGCGTGCTATTTTTGGCGCATAATGAGCACGCTCAGGCCACACGCCGCCGTATTTGCGTGCTCTATAGCTAAATGTCTCTCAGAAGTTGTGAAAGAAAGAATCTAAATTTTTCTCTAGCCCAATTCTCTAGCTGCCGGCGCTGATTGCCGGTTTGCCAATTCTGTGCGATGTAGCTGTACATATCTGTTTTCTAGCACCCATACATTTATTCAAACTACCCTTCAGTAACATTTGTGAATAGATTGCATGCCACTGAGGATTTATTCTTCTGAATTATTTGCCCCTAAGCAAATTCTGAAGCGATCAACTTCGAACACAAACCGCCGCCACGGGTCAGACGCATACATTCGTTCGTCCATTGTTGCGGGCACGTCAAATATTCCCGCAAAAACGCGCCAGAAACCCCAGCAGAATGGATGTGGAAAGCGAGGGCCAATTCCTCCCCACAACGCAGCAGAGCTCAACCACTCCGAGACGCGGCCCAACTGCGCACATTTCGACAATGCTCATTTGCAAACTACCACCTCGTCATGGTAGAAATTTTCCCTTACTTAATAACCCATAGCATCGTCTGTGATCGCCCTTTGTCGGTCGTAAAAGAGCCTACAGAGGACCACTTGCCTTTTCTTTCTCTTCGCCTCATTTAGGAGTCGGTCGGGTCACGTAATTGCGTGTGAGTCTTTAGCTGGCCATCCTTCGCGTCTAAGCCATTAGCGCGCGTCTATCGTACCCCCCTCTCGTGTGCGCCCGTTCCGAGGGGTCAGCGTCTATCCGAGCACTTGCGGCTAGGATCGGTCACACGCTCGCTCAATTTTCCGTCTCACTGGCTAAGCTAGCGTCGTCAGGTCAGCGCAACCCCGTTCGACTGGCCAGCGTTACAAGCAATTATCGTAGGCGTGCTCCAATCGGGCCAGCGACAATCTTATCAGGCGTTACGCAATCCATATCGAGAGGCGGCGTTCCCACAAATATAACAGCCGGCGGCTCAATTATAACATCCATATGCAAGTATATGTGGCAACGCATTTGACGGCATTCGGCAGAAGCTGCTAGCTAGAGCGTCGAGTGGTCTAGGAAGAAACTTGCAATTACATAACTGGTATTTGCATCGGCGGTGCGTGGCACAGTCCAACTATCTGTACTGATCAATATATATATGAATATAAGCATTCCAAGTTATTGTATGAGAGAACGAAAGCAGTTCGATTTGCATTTTTGGCTGTTTCAAGTTTAGCGGAATACGTGATAGTTGAGAGAGCAGGCAAGGGCATGCAGATGGACAAACGTGTCGGGAACAGATCGCAAGGAAACGTAGCAGTATGTGATCAAAAGCAACAACAAAAGGGCAGAAGTACACCCTTTGATTGCAAAGTAAGTGCAGCTAAACAAATTGAGCATGAGTGATTGAAGCTAGTCAATTGAAAGTAGCAAACACACCTATTTCCTCCTCCTCGGTCGTTTCTGTCTGCTCCGTCTCGTTCGGACCCGATGGCGTGAATGGCTTCAAGGTATCTGTTGAACCATAGGAAAGGGAAGGCACATATTCCAGGGTTAATTGACTCTATGCGATAACGTGCTACTTGACACATCCACGAAAACTCTGGCATTAAGTTCGCACTACTGCATGTGGTCACTTTCGCGATTTCTCAGCAACCAACCAGCAAATGAGTATTAAGTGGGTGTGAGGAGTTGGCGAATGCGAAAGAATTGGAATGCATTTTGTTCGTTAGCTTTCTTGCTTGAATACAAGTCGGGGCAAACCTGCCCGGGCTTTACGCGTTCACGTGGGTGCCGTTTCGGTACAGAAATCATATATGTAAATGTATAGAATATGACACAGATCAAGTAGATTGAAAAATCTCTAAGTCGACTTCAAGCCGCAAGGTGTGCGTAAGTGTTATCACAACATATGGACGCGCAACGATGATAGTTAGGCTGGACTATTGCATTTGGGAGGTGGCATGCTTCAGCGAATCCAGTGAACCTGAATTCTAAACCTTGGTTGCAAATGGAAATAAGTAGCGCATTTGCTGGAGCCATGCAGGTTAGAAGAAAATAAGTCAATTGCTATTTAACAGGTCCATTATCTTGACAAAGCTCCTTACTTTCAAGGCATTCTAACCATGCAGATCGATACAAAAGCCATCAAGTACAACTCAGTTTATCCATGGAATCCTTGCCTTCTATTGCCAACACCTATTTACCTGTCAGCTGTTCGTGCAGCCACTTAAGTGCAGGCGCAGTAACGTGTGCTTCCGTCGTTGACTCATGCCGTACAACAGTGGATTTTCATCGGTAGAAAAATAAACAGCTGGACTTCTATCCAATATCGAAAGTGACGAACTGCTAAGTAGATGATCAAGCATTCTCTACTGAATCTGTTGTAAAACGATTCAGCAAGCTGCCGAGTTTAGAGAAAGGCGCTAATGACAGCCATGTGTCTTCCACTTGCTGCGGAAAAGTAGGGGCCAATGCGTCGTCTGATGCTCCTTGCCGTGCAACAGCTGAGCTACCACATCGTGGTGCTTCTTAGCAATTATGCTGGCGATAGTCACTTCCAATGGTTTGATCGCAGCGCACAACGTAGCAGGTGATACCACATTTTATAGCTCCCTTCGGAGGGAGCAAGCAAGACCGAGCAGTTAGCTCCTTGTGTGTACACACTTCGTCGCACTTACCTCAATCAAACCAGCACCACCACCCACCAGTCTGAGCGAACGCACTGTGTACTGAACACGTCGATGCGGCCCCAATGGTTTCAGTCCATAAAGTAGCAAGTTGGTGTACCTGTTGCAATCCTAATAATAGCACAAACCTATTACAGACGCACAGCTACTTGTGACTTAGGCTGTGGAACGTAAAAGAGAACACGATAAGGCGACAAGACACGTACGGATGAGTGAGTCGTAAACTTAGCTACTTCAGCTCAAATAATTTGCATCAACCGGGCTTACAGTACTCGACTTGGGATATTAATGTGCGCACAGAGTGCAACTTGAGTTAAGTTACCACAGCAAATGGAACCCGAATTATACAGTCACTAAAGATTTAAACAGTAGGTGCAGTAGAGTCGTCCTGACATGAATGTGTTGTAAGCATACTGTTCAAACAGTAAGAAATACTCGACGAACACGAGCGGTATACGAGGACTGAACGTACGCTATTGTTGCACGCATGCAAAATTCCAAGACATGTATTAACAACCCAATTAGAATTATGCAGTCGTGAAACCATTCCAGTAAGGCAAGTGAAGGTAACCGAGCGTTATACGCATGGCCGATGCTAGTTAACTGTACTGAGGGGACTAACTTTCTTCGGAGTTGCCATTCTCTTTATTCTGAAGCGTTGCTCCTTGGATATGGGGCGTGCTTTCCTTGCTGTCTTCCGCTAAAATGTACAAGTTACAACCCCAGTTTAAAGGATTATTGACCTCAATTTTAGGTTGGTTAATTTGAGACCAGGCAGTAAATTACCAACGATTCTTTTGTCATTATTTGGCGCTCTGTCTGAACGAAGTACTAGTGTGGCTTGGTTTAAAGGCAGTTCACTTACAAACTCGTTCGGATAACTTATCTTTGCCAGTACTATGTTACACTACATTACTCGTACTTTAATGTGCTCATAAGTAGTTCCTATTATCCCGATTCCTGCGACATTAATTTCGTTCTAAAATGTTTCGGAATGCACCACAGCTGAGAATCGTTCAGATACATTTAGGCGGAGGGTTGTACAAATACAGAAAAAGAACAGTGTTTGCGGAGGCATAGAAATGTTAGACATATGGAAACGTGAGATTAAAGCATTTAGGCCATTGGTATGAATTAACCTTAAAGGTGAAAATATTCTGTGAGCAAACTATATGACGACTCAACGGTAAACAAGTAAACTGAGAACTGTCCCAATTGTATGAAACATTAAATGTATTCGAACGAATCACGTGCCTCACACATGTGGCAAGATATGCTGACAGATCGCTAATGGAATTATGTAAAATGTTAGATGGATTACTGACAGGTCATTGATAGTTCAAGCTTTCAGTAATGCCACGTCTCGCAAGTACTGATATCTTTCATCTAGCTGGGAACAGAGGGTGAAGCACCAGTTGCGTTCAACAGATAAGGCAAACTTATCCGACCCACCGATGCATGGAGTAAGAAGCAGTGTAGAGGAAGGTGAAGAAGAAAAAGAGGTCAAGCATAAATCCGTTGCTTCCAGCCTATTCACAAGCTCATGTTTTCATAGGCAGTTAGTGCCTCAATGCCCTGAACATGACGAGGAATAAATCCCCATGGAAGATAAAAATAGGGGTGGATCAAATTTATCCAACCTATCTATGTGCCCATGTTTTCATAGGGCATTTGTGAGTCATCTATTTTCCTAAAATCAAGATATGTGATAATGTAGGGGAAAGGAATTCAAAAAATTCACTAAGTAACCTAGCAAAACAGAAAATATTCGGATAGATGAACAAGCTTGGTTGACGTTTTGTCGACCAAATTTTATCCCCGATGTATCCGTACTTTCGTATTGCAAATTCCACTAGTGGTTACATAATATATGACCGGTCCATATACAATCATTCATTTGACAAACTAACGCGAATGAATTCTTTAATTTCATAAAATGATAATAATCTATCATTTGCATTGTGAACGTCGAAATCGAAGGAGCGCTTGTGGTCACTTTAGGCACTGGATACCATAGTGTTGGATATTTAAGTGTAAGCGACCTTCAATCATAGGATTGTGCAGCAAGAGAGCAGATTTATTACATGGCTTTTATTTCATGTGTTATAGGGCAACGATTCTTGGATTACCGGCTGATTATACTTGGTGTATGTTATTAAACGGACAATGTTAAAAACTAACATAGATTCAGTTTTAATATTTGAAAGTACAGCGGTTCGATTTCGACAGCCTCTTTCCTCAGTGTATAACAGAGAAGCATTACTCATGTGATTGACGTGGAAATCCGTTAATAAACTGTACGCCATTTCGATATACCCCTAAAAATTACTAGACCCGATTTACAGAGCTGAAAGATCCAACAGTGGTCACAGCACATGCTACAACGGACAAGATGCTAATAATGATATTGTCGTTGAGCTACATCGAATTCGCTGGTCGGGTATTAGGACGAATTCTTTAGTCCCGGGAGTTTCGCTCCCCTCAGCCATTACGCCCAGCTGTTGGTTCATCTGCGGCCTACGTTATTATTCAAGCAACGGTCTAGGCGTTTAGCCCACATCATTTACTTTAGCTTTATTTCTGTAATTATTGCTACGCCAAACACTAAGATACATCAGCTTAGCTTAAATCAAAAAATTTCCTGTCACATGTGCACCAAGCACAGGCGTAATAAATACTGTCACCTTAAATCAAAGTAGAAATTAACATTGTGTTTTACCAGGATGACGTATCTGGTATTTGACCCAAATACTTCGATAATTTACAAGCAGTTAGATATGATTTTGCAGAACGCAAAGCCAAATTAGCCTCAACTGATGATCCGCATTTAGTCTTCGATAAAATTAAGCATCGAAAAATCAACTAAAGGTAGTATGTAGTCCAGCAGCAGCTCATATTTATCTCGCCAATGTAAGAATGGATAATATAAATTATGAATCCACTTTCCATAATCATACTGAAATTAGCCTTAGTTCTCATAGGAATATAATGATTAGTGTAAAAGATATAAATCACCAACAGAATGCACATGATACATAAAACACATTTGCCACAAGCTGCGAGAACTAAACTATCAACTAAGATAAGAGGTCACCCCTAAATATGACAACATGGAATAGCCGTCGGGAATGCCATAGCAATTTTATGCCCTAGAACTATGTCAGACATGGAACGCGCTACCAACTTATGTCGTAAATACACCCATAATTGCGATGTAAAAAGAACCACTTAATGAAGCGTTGGCCCATTCGCATTTAATTTGTTAACCTGGGTTAGCATAGCGGCAACATAAAGCAACCAATCAGCGTATTTCCAAACATACGAAAAACCGATTATTGGGTCTAACATTTTAAGGCGAACATCTTGCTGTCCAGAATGTGCCTGTGGTGAGATCACCTAATCCATGTTCACTATGATGAATTTGTACCTTCTCAAATATCCCCATCCCAGGCGACTGGTCAGCCATTTCCGCTTAACCAGTAATACACCATTGATCAATTGTTCCAACTGTGAACAGTTGCATTCCATGCACAACCTACCAGCCGTTACGGCATTGCAGAACGCAACGCTCCCAATCCAGCTGCGGAACACGTGATGCCTGTACACATCACTGCGACAATACCGTGCTTGTGCACCTACTCCCCTTTGCTGTTGTTTGTATACTTACTTACATATGAATAAGATTTCATTGAGACTGCCTGGAAATTTCAACATATCCACGAATGAACATGTTCCAGCTCCGCATCAAAACGCAGTGGCATCTGGGGACCTTACTACAGCGGTTTGTCAACAGAGCGTTGTCCAACTAGATTATGGCTGTTTTCACAAACACTCAGTTTGCAGTCCTAAGACTCTAATGCAAATCACCGTTAGTTTATGTGGCAATGAGACACACATAGTAACATGCTCTCAAGAGAAATTGACATGTGGGAAACAGTTCTCGATGAGCTATTCGAATAGCGGCCCAAATGCGTCTAGACACACACGTTATCCAACCTTGGCTTTCGCCTCAAGCATCCACTCAAACGCTAGCAATGGGATCGTACTATCCAATTTTGCACATACGCAAACAGCCAATGGGAGCTCATGGTATTTTGTACCTATTGATCTGTGCAGTTGCAGCGACTGCATCTGGAATCATGAGAAATATGCTTACTGCTATTCGTATTAAACCTCTGTATGTAACCTTGAATTACCAATTCATGGTGATAACTTTGCAATCAGAAACCAAATGCAAACCAAAAACACGCACGGACTAATTTTCTAAGGGCGGGTGACTCGAGCAACATGTCCAACCAAGGATAAGCCAAAATGTTTCCCATGGAACAATGATTGCTGCGGTGGCATAGAATTGACGCAACAAGGCAGAAGCTTGCGCGTCACGACCAAACCGTAACAAACATGTAACAACCCAGACTCCATTGCTCCAACTGGATTAAAACCGCAAGCATCGTGTGCAAATCATCCGATAGAAGAATCTACACCATTTGGACGTATTTCGTCTCTGATGTTTGCCCTGTAGAGTCAAGTCGTTTTGAGTCAATAACAAAGCAACGTTCAGTTACAACATTACCGAAAACCGAATAGGCAGTGTCTTCGGGAAATGGACGATGGCATACGTACTGCAGACTACATGCACTGCACTAGAGACGGACGAGGTGTAACAGGAAGTCAGAAGAAAATCCGTGTTAGACGCATGAACTAAATGAATAAGTTGGGAGTCCCCGCTTCGCGAAGCGAAACGCTGCTTGGAGGATGGCGTTGCATATGTCGAATGAGCACACTCACTTATTCCTGCCTCGGTATCGGCATCAAATTGATTCTTCTCCGTTGCACTCGAGGCGGTGGTGTGGATCACTTTCGCTGATGAGGCACACAAAATAGAAAGTAAAATTTGTTTCGATGCGAGGAACATCTAAGAAACGTTATTGTGCATACAGGTCAGCCAATTTTCAAAGTACTATTTTCCTCTTGAATAATTTGGATTTAGAAATGAAAATTGTTTGGATTGATCGTTATGGAAAGTCGAATTATTCAACGCACTTAGTTATGTCATCTCATCCTGCACACACTGACCAGTGCCCTCGAGATACGAGTGAGAGCTTTCGCTAAATACTCTGCTCTAACACCTGTGTTCGCATTTGATCTGCCGATCACTTCGCATCAGTTTGCGTGTAGCAGTTTCGCGACGCATCACGCTGCCTTCTTGTTCATTAGGCTACTCGTCTGTTTCAAGTATACACGTCAATCCACGCGTCGATGGCAGATCCGCGCCGTGCAGGCTCTGCAGTGATTACTCATCATTTCGTTGACAATTTCTGTCCATTGGTTGTGAATACGGATACCGCATTATCAATCATTTGCCACATTTGGACAGACTTGCATTTGGCGGTGAGGATTGCGTCACCATTCAATCGAGATAAGTGTTATGTTGTTCACATCCGCCATCGGCACGCCTCCGTCTACATGCTTGGGACGCATGGTCTACCGATCACTTCTTAGAAACGAGAACTAGGTGTGTTTGCACCACACGACATATTTTTATTCAGACAATCTGGGACCGCTTCAAATAAATGTAAGCTTCATTTTGGCATCTTGTGAAGGAAACCTGGAATTTTGCACTCATCCATTTTCTCATGGATCTGCAATGACTTTACACATCTTAGCGTCGATTACCGTATTCAGGCGTGGCATACTGGCTTGATTGACCCTACAATGGTCGTTAACACACAACGTCAGACAGCGAATAATGTCAGGGGCTTGCGCCACTTAATACTCGAGAAGCGGCAGAAGATACCTCGTGTTCAATGAATGTTAACGTCCATTATACAGATATCTCATAAAATAACCCCGTAATGTGAACGATCCAAGATACGTAGACTGCCACCCACGGAAAATATGCTCGAGCATGAAGCTGTGGCAATAGCTTGCAATTGAGTGGAAACGCATTCGCTTATTTTGTCGACGAGTCTAAATCTCTCCCCAGCTCTGACGAATAACGAAACGACTTCCCAAACTCAGCTATCGGTATTTCTACCTGAGCCATTTGCAGTTTATGTCTGGAGATAGCAATCAGCTCTCTACCTCTTTTAATTGAACGGATACTATGGAATGTATACCGGCCAACTAGCATTTTGGAAGTATTATCCACAATGATGCCCGTAAGTCAGTGAAATCGGGTGAGTAAACCGACTGATATGTCAAATAAGCAATAGTACAAACGAAAGCGCAACGTCGATCTGACCGCGATGCTGACATGTAGTGAACTCTATACTTGTACTCTCTCAGTGGCTCGCGAATTAATACTGTATTGATCCTCACTCCTTTCAGCTCCACGTTTATTTTGCTGATTACAGATCCGCATCACCTGCATCTACTTGATGGATTACGCATTAAACCGCACTCGGCTCTTGTTCACCTGCCCTTGATTCCTTGCATATTATCGTCAGATTTAAGACTGGTCCAACCTCTTGTGCTTATCTATCATTCTGTAGTTAGCACAAACATCGGACTTTGAACAAACGTGCGCGCTAATCGCGCATTTGTGCATTCTGTTTTCTCGCTGTTTCTCAGCCACAATTGATCACAAACCACTGTATCTATACTCATTTGTCCTGCTTTTACTAGCTTTACCTCGCAATACCATTTTCTCACGTACACTACAGTGCAGCCTAAATGTATTACAAATTCCAATTTTGGGACCGAGTATCACCGATATGCAAGCGCAAATGTTGCACAACTCCACCCATCGGATACATTGTTTGGTCACACTTCATTGAACATTGCACTCGTTCAAGTGCAACTTTGTTTGGGCAGCTACAGCGATTTTAACCCTCTCTGCAGAGTACCCCTCTCTATCTCTTGGATAGTTCACCTTGGGGCGATCTATAGGCAACCCCACGAAAATTCTCTACCAAACCCACGCGTGTTCTGCTTCGCGTGCAGGCTGACGCATTCTACCGGCACGCCGGGGAGGACAGTTTGCAATCACGCAAGTGTGACGTTTAAACTGGGACTTTGGCGTCAACTTCAGAAACACGAGAACAACTACTAACCATCAAGTGTGAGTCTTTCTAATCGGTCGAAATATTCGTTCAACGAGCATAATACTCAAATTGCACGAGGCGTATGTGGATCTTACGTGGAGCACGTGTCAATCTTGTCAACTTGGGTAATCCGTGTCGCAGTTATCGCAGGATTTTCCATTGGAAGTCCGTCTGACTGAAAACTCACCAGGCCAACTTAATTAACAAACCCGATTCTCTGCGTGGAATACATGTGCCTATTGTGATGGGATAATGCAAACAGTGGAATCGTACGGAGTAAGATGACAAAGCAAGCGTCTATCTTGCCGTAAGCGAACAGAGCAGTTGACTGGACGCATTCTCATATTTCGCCTATGTGCTGCTCTATTCCTAATTGGCTACGATGTAGCTGGCTTGCTTAACTGATTCATAGGAAGAATCTAATGAGTGCAGAAACGTCGTTAGCTGTGGAATCGACCAAGCTATTTGCATCGAGTTCTCTGCAAGCTTGTCATTCTGTCATTGTTGCTGAGCTTGCTTTGTCGAATAAGCCGTTTGTAACTGAAAGACCAAGTGCTGCGACATAGTGTCAGAGAAAGCAAGGCAAGATCACCGAACGGTGCTCAGTTGTTGCTCGGGGCTCAGCCAGCCGTGCAAACACCTGCTCCATTGAACATGGAATAACACAACTCGGCCAGTAAATGGGTACTCTGTCAAAGCAAGTGCATCGATTTCTGCGTGCTGTGCGTCTGAATGAAAAACCGATGGCGTATCACCTGACGATGTTTCGGCATACAGTCCTAGAAACGATGCAGTACGATAAGGACGAAGACCCAGCTGATCTGAGTGGAGTAATCAGTAAAAATGCGGCGATTTCTTCGAGGGCCAGACCATTGACACGTGTCAGCAATATCTATCTTTCACTCGTGATAGGCGCCCGAGTGAATCTGTCGAGAACTACGTTACAGAACTACACGTCCTGGTTAGATCCTGTATTTTTTGCAATCGTATGGCTGACAGTCTCATCCGAGATAGAATCGTGCTTGGGATCAATGATGAAAACATCACCAATTGGCTATTGCGGCAACAGAGTTTATTGCTCAGACAATGCTTCAGTGAACCGTCAGCTACACACCACATCCATGCAGACCTGTGCGCCATATCCAACTTGCTTGACAATACTGCGAAGCCTGTTAACGAGGCACAAGAGAGTTGCAAATTCTGCACCGCATGGCACCCAAAGTTTCGTGATTAATGTCCGGCCTATGCTTGCATTTTCGCCAAATGTGGCAGACCAAATCATTTCGCTCGATGCTGCTAGTCTTTCAAGGTGAGTGCACGCAATCGGGACAAAACTCCCTCCGACTCTGAACATTCAATTAGAAACATGTCGCGGACGGGACGAAAGAATTGCGTTTACACAAGCTTCTTGGTTGGCGACGAAATGGCGCGCTTGCACTTAGACACGGGTGATTCCATCAACATTATGAAGGAAACACGATGCACATAAATTCGTGTGCGACTTGATCAGAGATCCGTGAAAATGTGAAACGGTTGCAAGCTTCGGCCGTATGCATTGACCACAATCAAACTGATCACTCCTAAAGGCGGCTCTTTACATAAACAGGGACATTTGTTTGGGAATGAGGAGCCAACGCGCAATCTCGACATTGTTTCCTTCTAGGGTCTTAGATTTGTACATGTTAACCATGATCCTCCTATGCATGCATGTGACAGATGTTAGTGAACTGTATCTGTCCGTGTTTAGCCAAGGTTTGTGGAGGTTTGAATGTTCCCTACATTTGGCTCTAGATCCCTCAATCCGACCGACTGCACTGCCGGTTAAATACGTTCTGCATCCTGAACGTGACAAATTCGCCAACAAGTTAAGGAACTCGACGTAGATGGACGTAATCGTTAAGTTCGACGAGCCGACAGACAATGGTTAGAAGGGGAATGGTGATTCTCAATTTCGTGTGGATACTAAGCCGTTAAATAGAGTATTACGTAGAGGACACTAAATGCTGCCAAAAACTACCACGTGGACATTGCGTACACCCCGTGAAAGCGGACGTGCATCCACGACGCTGTCGAGTGTTCATCTTCCGATAATCTAATTCCAACAAGAAGACCTCATGACAGTCAAACTCTTACAATATGTAGCAGTAACATCAGATCGCCTGAAAGAGATAAGGCGTCATACGGAGGCAGACACGACGTGCGTGACTTTGTGAGACGTGATAATGTGGGCGGTCAGCTAAAAAGAACAACCTCCCGAGAGAAGGAACGCCTACGTTCCGCATCCTAATTTTACTAGAATAACATGCGGACGAGGTTTAACAAAGCTCAACCAAAAGTCTGTGTTAGAGACGTGAACTAAATTAGTACATTGGTGGTTCTCACTTCCTGGAGCGAAACGCTAATTCGTGGGTCATTTTGAATATGTCGAATGAGCACACTCACTTGTTCCTGCCTCGATATTGTCATCAAATTGATGCCCGTCCGTTGAACTCGAGGCGGTGGTATGAATCACCTTCTCCTCTGAAACACCTAGAAGAGAATGTAAGATTTTGCTTCGATACGGTGAGTGCATACAAAACGCTATTGCGAATATAGTTATGCCGACGCTACATCTATTCATTTCTGTTTGAATAAATTGTTTTCTATGATGGCGATAAATTTAGAGTAATGGCTGGTTTTGTAGAAGCTAAATGTTCACTTCCTACCATTGCGAGTATAATTTGAAGTAAAACCGGGACGGAGTTGTGTGCATGAGAACACTGCTTCCTTCTATAGTGTGCGTTACTTTATGAAGCAAATCTGCTATAACACGTTTGTGTCAAGCAACATTAGAGGAAATATAGACTAAGAATATTGAATGAGTAGTGGAAAGCGAGAGAACCAATCAGGCGGTTTCGAGGAAATAAAATGAGGGGAATTAGGCTCCTGAAATAGCATCCGATACAAATGGTTTAGGCCAGGCCAATGGAAGCGACGGAATGATGCGGTTTTACAACGACGGCAAAATTAAAGCGTGCGATTGAGATGCAAAATTGGTACATGACTATTGCGCCTACACTAAACACCTCCATCTTGTAATAAAGTTGGTTAGTTGAGGGACGTGGTAGGCGTCTAATTAGAATGCCAGAAGAAATCATATGTGCTTCCGGGTCTCCTCATTGTTCCACTTCCTGGGGTTTCCAAACGCTGTGTGCATTGACCGGTGTGCATTGACTCGGCTTGCCATTGTCTAGTATTTCGGTTCGAGCAAGTCTGTTTGTGTAAGGTGTCACGGTATTCCTTACGTAGCGCTGCCTAATTTGATTGGCATGGCGAATCCATACCTGCATACGGAAACGGATCTCATACATCACCCTACGCTGGCGCCGCATGACGACTCCGGTTGTCCGTTTGATCCTGTTCCCCTGTTGAGAGTTGACAAACACCTATGCCCTGTCTTCATAATCCATACCTTGGAAAAATCCAGGTACATCACATCAACGCCTTCTCCAGCTTCCGGTGACTCGGTGCAACTACTCCGTACGATTAGTCAATTCGTTGTGCATGACCGCTGTCGACGGAACCCGTGCTGTTCAGGTGTGATGGTGTTACGATTTTCCCGATAACACACCAGTGCATCGGGAATTATAGATCCCATGAGCATGGAGAGCATAGGAATATTGGATACTGGATGGTAGTTAGAGGCATCAGTTCTGCTTCCAACTTTGTGAATCGGGGTTATTATTCCAAGCTTCTACAAAACAGGAACTTGATTCTGGTCTAAGCATTGCTGGAAAAACTGAGTTAAAGTTCCTGTCAGTCGGCTTGCTGTTGCTCTCAGGCCTTTGAATTTATGGTATCGACACCCGGCGAGCTGTGTTTGCGTAGAGACATCAGTTTTTGCAATATAGCCTTCACGGTAAAAGTGATGTGGGTTTGTCCTGTCGAGGTGGCGACAATGTTTGGAAGATCGCTTGATGGCAAGACCCAATGAAACGTGGGGGCATATTGCATCCGCAGCGTGTTTGCTGATCTAAAGCTGTTCTTCTTGGACCATCGGCAGTTCTGTGTGACGAAAATCCTTGCCTCAAGTTTTGTAAGCTAGTTACGTGCTTGTACAGCAGTTTGTGCTTGGCACTGGAGGTTTTTGCGACGTTCTGCTGTTATGCAGCTTTGTTTTCACTTGACAGTTCTGTGCATTGGTTACGTGGGATTACATATTTGTTCCAATGTTCTATTGCTGGAGCTTCTCTGTACACTTGCCATGCAGCGTGGCCTACTGTCATAAAAGTTTTCGAGTTCTGCTACTAACGAAAGAAAATGATTTACACTAACTGCAAACGCTTATCTTTGGAGTCTCTGAAATCAGCTGACTGAATTTGCTGACGAACTCGAATCAGGTGACTTCCGTGGGTTGTAGCGTTGACGAGCTGAGCTAATGGATCGTGGCTTGTGATGGTTCGCACAGTCTCATCGTTCTCCTTCCGATATTCGGCATAGCAGACGAAGCAGATACTGATCACTGTGTGGTCCCTGTGACTCAATGGGCAGTTTACAGCCAACACATTAACCATATGCTCCTCCTTGGTATGCATAAGATGCAGCAAAAATGGTCTGTTACCAGTTCAGAATCGGGTGGGCGAAGTGAGGTGATTGTAAAGAGGAACAGTACGAGATCTTGTAGATCGGCTTTGAATTTTTTTCCGATCATGGCACTAGTTCCTATACAATGTACGTTGAAATCACCCATGGTAAGAATGTGAGTGTACTTGCGCTGTAAACTGCATCCTAAAGCCGCCTCTAGGTGGTAGTCTGTTTCGGATATGTTTTCTGCCTCAGATGCTTTCATATTCCAACTTTACAAAGCTTCTGCGATCTTTAATACAAATTCCGAAGCAAACTTTTCCGATTTCTCCATCACCGGTTTGCTTATTTCCTACCATCACAATCCACTGTCGTAGGGCTTTGATCATCAAATGAGGGACACATTCCTCTAAAACCATTTCTAAATAGTCTCGATCAATTTGTGATCGATCTACGACAAATTTCGGGTGTGCATGACTCAGCGTCTACGCACTTACTGACGTCGTAGCAAGTAGTTCCAAAACCAGCGTTGCCAATGAAGTGGAGTCCATGGCTAGCGAGCGGCTCCCTGATCCTGAAGTTGCTCTATTATCCAGGTATTCCATCTAGACACACTACTCATTCGGCAGACAAGGGGACAAATGCGTCTTCGGCGACTCATCGCTGGTCAGGTCGCACGCAGTCGTGTCACATGAATGTCGCAAGACCGGTTTCGAAACACCACATGAGATATCTAACTGACTGCCTCTTGATTACGCCACGCTCTGACGATCTGGCATCAACTCTCCTAGTCGGCCGAGCGAATGTGGCTTGGAATTTTTTCCCGCACGACAAATCACCGACAAAATTCGATGTTGTGCCATCCGTGAGACTTAGACGCAACACGGTTACTAAGCGCGAGTTGAACGCGATCCTAGACCGAACGCAATTTCACTCGCAAATACCTAACCCCCGAGAAGAAGACAACAGGACAGGCCTTTTGCGTAGGCACATTTACCGGCCAGGGTCAAGGCGGTTACAGTGCAGTCCATCGTTTCTGTTATACCTCGTTGGCGCCAATAATTTGCGGTAGTAAACCCTGGAAGTAACTGCGTTGGTAGTGTGCAAAATGTCAAAGGTATATGTTGTAAAATTAATGTTGATAGATGCGGACGATGGACTGGACTAGTTAATGTTTCTTAGGTAGAAAAAGGATGAACCTTTTATAATTGATGGGAGGTTGGTCGGAAATAGTAATGTGTTCTGAAGTACAAAGACCATTCGAAACGTGAAAGTCTCACGAGGCGGAAGGATGATAGAAGCATGGGCACTTGTCTGAATCGACTATCATTGCATTCAGTGGTTTAAGCTTCTGATCATTATGGGGACGTTGCGTACCCGTAACAGGTCATCTCGCTCAGTGTTTTTCGTCATCCGCAGTAGCAATTGCGTTTGTTAGACATGTGCCGCTGCTTGTCTCCCACGATAAATTAGAAAGTAAGCAAGGCGCACGAGAATTCCACGACATACTTTTCCAACGCCGAAGGTACATTTTAATCACATACACATTGGTCATGCAAATCCACTATAGCCACTGACAGTCTTCATTTAGATATCAAATTGCGAAGACAGTTTCATCAGGTGTCTGGTTGCCCCACCTATTCCAGTCCAAGCTACTAAAGCTCAGAAAGTTTAGTAGGGAATACGACTGCCTTGTCATATTTAGTCATTACTAATGGTGGGTCACTTTTCGCTTTCAATTTCACTACCTTGCTTAATAAGTTAACATTTCGCTGTGTCCGGAAAATTGTATATTGTTAGTCTGCTAACGGTCTTAAATGGCGATTGAACACCAGACGAACGAAGCGCCTCGATCACATACCGATGTAGTATAATATGGAACCCATCCTCTTTCATCCTATAAAGTAGTAGAAACAACAAGATTTATTTCGGCGCCACAATAGCGCAGATAGGCTGCTTCTGCATACCTTGCCTGGTATAGACACTTGGTAACTCCAGCGCCATCCACCTCCTCTTTTGACGCCGAAGTTTTACAGACCTCGTAGCTCACCGATTACGTACTATAAGTCAATCCGCTCCCCGGTTAAGAAGAGCATCAGTGCAGATGCAGGAAGGTGCAGTTGTACGCAAGAATGTGCACACAGTTGGCATTAAGTAGCTTCTGCAGTCACGGTGCATAAAGAATTTTGGACTTATCACGCGGACGCGTAAAAGGCTGCAAATGACTGAGGTGGTCGACACGAAGGTTGCAAAGATAGTGTAGTTGGATAAGGTCGCATTGTCATTAACCACAAGTAGTACCTAGAGTGGGGTTACAAGTAACGACTCTATCCGCTTATGTTTCTACTGCCGAGCCGACAACGTTACCCAACAGCAGAAGATTATCTTACAAGATTAACCGCTGTGTAATGCAGGTGCGAATGCCTGTTAGGCTTAGCAGACACTGCATATACTTAATATACACAAATTTCTTGTCGAAATTCGTCTTATTTTTGCCTAAATTGCTTGCTGAAAAGCGTCGGAATTAATGCTGAGCCTTTGCTTATCCTCGGTTTCTTGCTGAAACTCTTGTTCTATCCTTCAGTGAACGCTGGTTTACTGATATCTACGGTCCAGCCAAATTAAAGCTGATAGAGACGCGAATTAGATTTCAGCGCATTTCAACCTGCTACGTGCAATCAGACAGAATTAGTAGGAGTTTCCATTTGCGCCCTAATTTGCCCCTTAATGTAGTCAAATCATTCAAATGGGTAGGGTTGTTGTCAATTATTATGGCAGTAAGTTGACGTTGCAGACATCCGCACTGACCTGGTCAACTGTCATGCTATGCGGTGACACGGAAGTGCTTTTCTGGTTCTCGCAACATTTTTCTGTATCACGTAATGTTGTCCTTACAATTAACTGTCAAATATCCTCATTTGCCATCAAACAGACATAAAAGTGAGAAACGTAATACCTTTTATGCA